GCAGTCTTATCCATTCTGCCAAAAAAACTTCCTAAAGATTCCAAAATCTACAGACTTTGGGGAAAGCGCTATGATAGAAAGAGCAACTAATGACTTATCTAAGGAACACAATATGTCGATTAGTCTGAATGGACTACCGCTAAAATTTGAATTCGTATGGCACGTGCGTGGGGACGGCCAGAACTTTCCTTACAACCTAATAGAAGTGGGAAGTATAATATGCCAATTCAGTTCAAAGTATTCGCCCATACATAGGACATGCTCTCCTATAGTATGGACACAGCGGAATAGCTTACTGATAACACCTTCCTATATCTTCCTGGATGGTGTAAAGTAAGTAGCTATGTTTGTCGCCTCAAGTGATTTTATTTCAGGTATTCAATATTCTTTCACTTTGTTCTGAGCCATTTACTGTAGAACCAGAAGCACTAGAATTTCTTGGGAAGCATTCGTTCGATTTCAATCGATGGATCGACATTGGGGTTCGGTATTATCCAAGCACAGTATCCAAGGTATATGATAAATACTATCTACAACTAGAACTCATACTAAATCTCCTCCGGAAGATCTTCCACAATCGTATCACTTATGCCTTCTTCCTTATACGTCCTCAACTAACATACTTCGAAGCAAACTCTTTCAATTTTCCTCCACTTCGGGAATGCCTTTGTGGAACTTGTCTGTCAATAACATTTTTCACGTTCACTGAAAATTGTTTTTAGGCATGTCGTCTTCGATCACTCATGAATGAGTTGTTATCTCGTGGGACTACTATGATTCTTCACAATGGTTTAGTAGACCTAGTCTTTCTGTATCACCATTTCTATTCTCCATTACCAGAAAGGTGAATTTTTGCTAATTCAAAGAGTTTATTAATAAGGCGATCAAAGCTACTCTTCAGTTATGGAGAGTTCTGTAATGCCCTTGCTGATCTCTTTCCACCTGAGTCACCGGTTTGCGATACAAAATTTTTAGCCGAGTATAAAACCCGGATGGCCGCATCATTTCTGGAATATGTGTTTCGAAGATGGTGAGTAGCCATAGCGTGCTTAATACAACGATTAGTATGAACTGTGTTCGATTAAGAAGGTTGAAGGTCCAGAAGTTCCTGAAGTTTAAGTCTACAATCTCGTACAAGGACGATTTTGGTGTAGAATGTCCTATGCTCTTAGGTGTGAATGAGATGAGAGCTTATAAACAGACTCTGGATACAATGTGCTGCCTAGCGTGGCTCTCATTGACACGAAAACTCGATCTTTCGATAGCAATTTTCTTTTTGTTACTGTACTAAATAAGTGAGCTCACAGCAACAAGCATTATAGTCAAGGCGATAACGTGCGCGAATCCCTAGAGCTACGCTGGCACCTGAAAATCACCTTCGATGACACGGCTTCTATGATGGCCCCACTCCGCGAAGCGTGTGAAACCGTGGACTGTCGACTTCCACTGGATTTTCCAAATCATCCGCTACCTTACGATCTACCAGAAAAAGTCTGTGAGCAATTTTCGGTAAGCTAACTATGTTCGAGATGAATACCTGTCAGTTCTGCTTATTGTGGTCAACATTGATAATTAGTGGAAATCCTTTCAGAGCCATGGATTTTGTCGCAAGCAACGTCAAGGTCAGTGTCCTTTGCTCCATGATGTCGACTTTGCAATCGACCTGGAGCAATTGCGACAAGAACGAAACCGAAAGAAGCGTAAAAGAAGGTA